CCATCCCAACACAGCATCTTGGAGCCTGATCCTACACTTACACTGAGCTCCCACTCTCAAAACACCTTCCAAGAACCAGTTAATTTTTGCTTTTTCCTGAACTTTCTTTAAAAATGCATTTTTGAAGCACGAAGGAGAGCTATGGCTTTCCACCCAAAAGTCTCCACAAGGGACTTATGACCCTGACTTTAAGGATCCTCAGCCTGTGGTTGTCCTGTCTGATCTCCCACACTGCAGGGGCAGGCATAATGTCACCTCCTGGATTTTAGGAGGGAATTCCACTTCCTTGCCAAGCAAATAAATGCAAGACTTTCTAATTAACTCATATTCAAATTGGGCCTCAGAACTTTACCCAGGAAAAGACGGCTCCTTTGCACAAGCCACCCAGTGATGCTCAGAGTATCAGTCATGAAAGCAGGAATTGGGAGTAAAAATAGCAAGGATTCTGAAGATACTTTTTTTAAGCCTCACACCTACTCAGAACTGATCTCTGGGTCAGCTGTCAAGAACTTCTTGGTTTTGGGCTTTTTTTCTTTCTTTCTTTCTTTTTATTACTATTTTATTCTAGATCAACACTTCTGATTCATAAAAATGGGAGTATCTGTGAACACATTTTCCAAATCAGCCTTCACAAGAATGCTTTGTTGAGGTCTTACAAAAGGCCAATCTCAAAATAAACTTTTTTAGGAATTTTTTAAATGTCAGTGGAGAAGTCTTTGCTCTTATTTCTGTATTTCCTTATTTTGCAACTCAAACATTTTTAACCACTGTAGGAGTCATACCCCAAGACACAGAAAATAAAGGAAAGAGAAATCTTTTGGCAAAAAAAAAAAAAAAAGATGGATTTGACAGGTTTCATCAGGGTTTGTCACACAAAGTTCAACAGTTTCAAATAATGGGTTTTAAATATTGACAAGGTACCATCAGTTACTCTAATCCTAGGAAAAAAAAAACCCTGCTCCTAGGGACCAGATGTTACAAAGACAGAATAAACTCATACTTGCAGGTGGCATCACTATTATCAACAGCATTTCATTTTCAGCACTGAGGACCCTGCTGCAGCAGCTGATAGACTCTGCATCAATATTCATAGTAATAAAATACTTCTGACACCTTCAGGTCATCTAAAACATGGACACCGTGATCATCACATTGATTTTTTTCTGTGAACCTTCATGAACACACCTCTGGCTCCTCTGCTTCAAGTTTTGGCTATTTGTCACAAGTTCTGAAGTTTTTCTCAACTCCTTTATCACCTGGACACAGTCAGGGACAAGCCACCTCCTTCAACCATCACCATCATTGTAAACCTCCTCAGATGCTCTCCATGCCTCTGCTTACCCCACACCAACATGAATTCAACCAGTGAAATGCCCTTAAAGACTCACAGAAACACAGAATGTTTTGGGCTGGAAGGGACCTTAAAGATCATCTCATTCCAAGCCTCTGCCATGGGCAGGGACACCTTCCACTATTCCAGGTGGCTCAGAGCCTCATCCAGCCTGGCCTTGGACACTTCCAGGGATCCAGGAGCAGCCACAGCTTTTCTGGGCACCCATCCTCACAGGGAAGAATTTCTCCCCAATATCTGCTGGAGAAACAAGGTGGAACCTTCTCCAAAATGTCCTCTCCTTCAGCAAGGTTAATATCACATTCCCTCACCCATCTCAGAGCAGCACCCCATGGCTCTAAAAGGCCAGAAACAGTGACCCAAAACACACCAGCTCAGCACAGCACAAGCCAGGAGTGGGGGAAAAGCATCCCCTGCCTAAATTGTTGGCAGTTGTGGTGTTTACCCTATTTCTAGTAACACTTCCATAAAGTTTTAATAAATGCTTCATTAAAACATCAACTGTCTGTCCAGCCAGTCAATTATCACTCATAATTACAGCTATATAACTGTATACTGTCTTCTACAGATGTTCTTACATCTGTGCAAAACACACTCTCCACCTCTGCCACATGCAACATCTGTTGAATATTTGCAAATGTTTTCTCAATATAGAACTGAAATTACACTGTCCTGCTTACAATGTATTTACTGTCCCACTATCCTGTGCACCCCTTAAAAATCACTAAAAAGGTATTTCCTTCCTTGCTGTGTACAAGGTACCAGTCTCTCAATAGCTCTTTGCTGCATTCATTTATATGGCTTTTAGATTTTCACTTAGTAACAGATTACACCGAGCCTCCATCTTATCACAGGAGTTATTAGGACCTAATCCTTTACAAGCACTGAAGTTATTAAGACTTGTGAGGATATTTTCTTCCCTTTTATAAATAATCTGTTGGAAAGAGGGGGGGAAAAAAAAAAAGAGGAGAAGAAAAGCTACTTGCATCCCTGCTCACCCAGGCAACAGTCCCAACCCTGGAGAAAGAACCTGCCTCACCTGCTCTTACTTTGCCAGCTGCAAAGAAAATCAAATTTGTTTTCATCTAAAGGTTTCTAGAGAAGGAAAACAAATTGCACTAAATCCTGGCCAGCCTCTTTCTCTGGTACTGCAGGAAGGAACTCCTTGGAGCAGGTTTGCCCCACGTTCAGAGGGATCTCCAGAGACCTTTCCAAATCCCTTCCATCTCCACATCCCCATCACACAACCAGGTGAAGCTGCTTCTCTGCTCAGACACGAGGTCACCACTCTGCTACAACACTTTCTTCTCCAGAGCCACAAACTGATTTTAGAAGCTGTCCTGTCCAAGGGACAACAAAGATGGGCATGGGGAGATGCATGGGGGGCAGAGAGGGAAGATACCTTCCCCTTCTGCAATGGCTCCATCCCTTCCCACCCCAAAGAAAACCCCTCTGCAGCTCTTGGATTTTGCCACTCCAATCCCACCAGTTTGGTAACAGCCTTCCAAGCCTCTCTGCTTATAATCAATGCCATTTTCTGCTATTTTGATAAGAAATCACAATTTCACCCCGATCTTTTCCTCTGTCCCCCTCCCCACCACCATAACCTGTCATGGGACTTTGCTGGATGCCTGAGCCAGCTTGGTCCTGGCAGGGCAGGAGAAAAGAGGGGGAAATGGGTGAGTTGATGGATCAGAGCCCTTTTGGAATGAGAAACCTCGCCCTGCACGACAAGGTGTGCAAACAGCATCACCAACCAGCCCTGCTAAATAAAACCACAGCGAGGTTCTGGGGAGCACGTCCAAGAGGCACAGGGAAATAAATGAGCAGCACATCAGCTCTTCATCACTCCTGGATTCTCCGTGCCTCCTCCATCCACACCCAAGCACCGGCAGCCTGTGAATGCTGGAGCATCCCATCGTCTCCCACACTCCAAAACACTGATGCTCCAAAGTTAACATTTCACAACCACGGTGGAACAAGCCCAGCACAGCAGCACCGAGCTGCTCCCTGCACGGTCTCGGGCAAGTTTTCCCTGCCTCGGAGGCAGCCTCACTCCTCCACTCCCCTGGAAAACACATTTGGGAAAGGCAGCCGGGAAAGGGCACAAACAACTCCCCGAGAACTCTCTGCGAACTCCTTCTCTTGCTTTGCAAAAGCAGCGATTTGCCTCCATCACCCTGGGGATTTTGGGGTGTCTCTGCAGAAGAGACGCAGCTCGCACTGCCCAGCTCAGTTCTCTGCCGCCCGAATTTCCGCGTGGAGCGATCCCAGAGTGTTTTTGCTAAACAAAAACATGCAAAAAGCCAAAAAAAAAAAAAAGAACCAACAAAACCAAAACCACCCCAGACATCCCCAGCTGACTGCGCCCAGGAAGGTTTGACAGCTCCAACAGGACATCTCATCCCACGGCACGTCTACTGCTAATGCAAAAAAATCAGCGCTCTGTCTCCCGGCGCATTTTAGTATTTTTTTTTTCTCATGGCACGCCTGCGATTTTTGGCATTCAAAGGCAAATCGGCCGCGGTTCCAACTCCAGACGTCCCTTCCCAGCACACAGAAATGCTCCGGTACTTTTCCCGAACTGGGATCCCATCCTCATCCCTCCGCACTGAATTCACAGCGCACCTCTCCGAGCAACAAAAGAGAGTTCAACCAAACGCGTGGCACCTCGCCTTCCCTCTTTTTCTCCTCTCAAAATATTTATTTGCAGGTTTTTTTGAAGACACCTTAACCCGCCATGTTGAACAAGCTTTATAAATATTCATTTACCGCAGTTCGGGAGCGCTACGGGAAAATACGTCTAGATCAGGGCTGTACATTTTGGCACAGCTGACTGCTTTCTTCTCTTTTCTTTTTTTTTTTTTCCTTTTCCCTCTCGCCTCCTGCAGCAGCTTTTTTCACCCCCCCTCCCCTTCCTTTTCCCCCGCAGATTCAGAAGAAACGCACCCGCACACCCAAAATAACTCTTTCCGAGAGATGTGTGCATCAGCCGGGTAAATCTGAAAGGAGGTCGCACGAGCGACCAGGCAGGAAAGCAGAAAAACGATAGGTATAACTTAAAAAAAAAAAAAAAAAAGAAAAATTAAATAAACGAGGAAAAGAAAGATGGGGAAAGGGAATAATAGTGAAAAAAAAAGGAAGGAAAAAAGGAAAGGAAAAAAAGAAGGGCAAAAAAAGGAGGGGGAAAAGGGAAAAAAGGGGAAAAAAGGGGGGGGGGGGGGAACGGGGAGGAGGGGGAAGGAGATGAGAGCATCTAAAATGCGATCTGTCGAGGTAAAAGAGAAAAAAGCCCCGCACGGCTGCGAGGGGCAGCGCGGAGCCCCCGGCCCGCGGGGAGCGGCAGCCGCGCTCCGAGCGCCGGTCCCGGCCGGGGGCTCAGCCCCGGCACCCAACACTTCCAACAACTCCACCGCCGGCTCACCTTCTGGAAAAACGGGGGGGGGGGGGGGGGAAGATACCCACGTCCACCTCTCACGCTTTAAAAAAATAATAAAAACTAAAATTAAAAAGATTTTTTTTAAATACATCTTGGAAAGGGGGAAAGCGACTCTCTCCACCCAAGCGCTGCCAAACCCGATAAATAAAATAAAGGGAAATACCAGCCGGGAAGGCTTGGGAGGGGTGGCTGCCGGGCGCGGTGCCTTACCTGTGAGAGTTTGGTTTATTTTGGGGTGTTTTCCCCTTTTTTTCCCGTCCGCGGTGCTGCGCGGAGCGGAGCCCAGCCGTGCCTGCGCCCGCACCCGCGGCAGACTCATTCCAATATGGCATCCGCGCAGTGCGCATGCCTGCCGCTCTTTTTAGGGCTTTTTTTTTTTTTTTTTTTTTTTTTTTTTTTTTTTTTTTTTTTTTTTTTTTTTTTTTTTTAATATTTAGCGGCCAACTCCTCCGGCGACCTTTTTTTTCAGCAGTTTCAAGAAAAGGGGTTTTAAAAAATAATTAAAAAAAGAAAGGCGTAATAAATCACCCCGCGCGCATCCCAACCCGCACCGCCCCGGCTGCTCCGCGCTGCGCGCCCGCGGTGCCTCCGCGCCTTGAGCTTCGCCTCCGCCGGGGATTTGGGATCCGCGGGTGAGGGCAGGGACGGGATGAACCGCTGGAAGTGATGCCGAGGTCCGGCCGCGCTCCGCAGCATCCCGGGTTGGCAAGCCCGCGCGTTAAATCCCATAAAATACCGACCCTTCAACACCGGAGCGCTGCCACTCGGTTTGTCCTCCCCACCGCTCCCCGCAACCTTTTATTTCGCTTTTCCTTCTCATTTCGTGTCGCCAAGAAACTTCCAGGGAGGGAGGCGGGGAGAAGAGAGAAAGCAGAAAATGCGGCGCATCCCTCAGCCCGCCCGTTCCCTCCGCTTCGCCGGGCTCCGGCATTACCTGTTTATTCCCTGTTGCAGAAAATAAATCAAATATATCAAGAAAAGCCGGCGAAGGCACAAGGCAGGATGTAAAATCAACTGGTGGGCACCCTCCGCCCTCCCGGCGCGCGGGGACACGCACAACTTTCCTTCTTTTGCTCCTCAGGTTCTTGGATTTTTTTTTTTTCTTTCTGGTTATTTGATGTTTTTTCCTTTCTTTGGCGAGTGCTGGGGATTGACGGCGGAATCGCTCTGCACGCCGGTGTGCGCGGCTGTGCTGGTGCGGGGGTGTTTGCACGTACAGCCACACTGCGGGATTTTTTCAGATCGCATAGATACTCTGTACTTTCTATTATTCAGAATATCTATTGCATAGATACTCAGTTCTCCCCCTCTCGAGAAAATCAGCCCCGCTGCAGGGCTGCAAAATGATGCCTGACACCACCGCCCATGCCCCCCGCCCGGCTGGTCCTGCTCTCCGGAGGGGGGGGTTACAAAAATCCCCTGGGGTGGGAGAGATGGGGATAAACCCCCACCCTGCAGCCGGGGTTTCTCGGGATGCTCCGACTTCCCGCACATCCCAGAGCTTCCCCTACCCCGGTTTGCTCAGCAGCGGGGCTGAGGGGAAATTTTGCAGGGTTTTCGCCTCCCCTCTTGCAGCCCTGCTCAGGGACTGTGTAAAGCATCTTTGATGGGGATTTTTGGAGCTCCAGCTCCCGTCTCCCGGCAGGCACGATTGGTACGATTGAGGATTGACGAGGTGGGGGTTGGTGCAGGGCACACACATTCAACAGGTCTGGAGGAGAGCAGAGGGAAAGGATATCTCTGTTTTGGGGCAGCAGCCAGTCCTGGACTTTGTCCTTTCAAAAAATTCCTTTGGAACTAACCCCAAACGCTGCTGTGTCCATCCCCACACTCGAGTTGCCAAATTTACATCACCCCTCGTGCTCAGATGCAAGTGCTGTCTCCACTTGCCTTTCTTTGGCCGTTTCCGAGCCCAGGTTTGAAGTTTCCAGTTGATTTTGTGAGCATCCCTTCTTGCAGGAGCAGGGAGGGTGATTTCACACCTGGGGAAGTGCTCATTTCCCACAGGTGACCCCAGCTCTTCTGTGCCCTATTGCAAGTACCACCACCCTTTTTACTGGTTCTTGCTGGGGATTCATCCCTGAATCTCCCAAATCCCTTTCTCTTCCACTCTCTCCAATCCCTTTCTCTTCCACCAGCCTCTCATGGATTTCATGCAAGAAGACAAGTGAGGAGTGGAATAAAGATGAAGCAATATTTTTATTCTGGAATACATTTGAGAAGATAGTGAAGACTGGGAAAAAAGAGCAAATATTGCAGGCAATGTTTCTTCACCACAGTCCTTGCCACTCAAACTCCAAGAGGCTATGGGCATGGGGTCAGCCTTTCCTGTTCCAGCAGATTTCTTGGGAACATACAAATCAAGCAGTTCTTATTTTCAGGCTTTGGGCTGGATGGGATTTCAAAACAGCACTGTCAGAACTTCAAAATAAGGCCAAAAACCCAGCTAGATGCCAGGAGAGCATTGTAGTCCTGTTTATCCAGATGATTGTGGAAGTGAGTGACATTATCAGCATGGTGACATTTCAAATTTTCAACATACTTTTGAAAGGAAGATGCTCTGCAAACACCATATTTGTGTCCTCTCTCTTTTTAATCTGCTCTGAATTAGGGTACACTGAGATTCCCCTGGCTGCAGCCTCTCTTCATCTAAAGCTGTTGGCATCATGCAGTTTAGGGACAGACACAGCCACAGTGGCTCTCCCAGCACTTCAGCTGTTTCTCCATCTCTTTTCCTTAAACACCAGATGCCTTTGTGCTTTATTTCCAGTCCAGTCTAAGAGATCTTCTCAGAGTTTTGGTTCCACTGTCTTCTCTGGAGCTTCTTCTTCCCTCTTCACCTTGATTTTCTCCTTTAATTTTATTTAGAGACCATTTCTGAAGCACTGACGGTTCAATTGGCCCTGTATGGAGAGATGTGGAAGAAAGCCTTCTAAGAGTTTGTGATCTAAATTAGGTCTATGGATGGTATCCAAAGAGGTGGTTTGAAAAAAAATAATAGTAATTAAAGCTGAGGAACAAAATTCCTTTGGAACTTTTCTAAATGGCTGCTACAACAAAGCTCTCAGATATGAATGAAAAGGTGAAGATTTATATCAGGTCTGAGCTGGAGATGACTCCAACAGCTCCTGTTGGCAGCAAAGACTTTGTATCTTGCTCATTGCTGAGAATACAGATTGGTTTAGTGGACGTGAACTGCAGTAATTGCTGAGAGATTTCATTTTAATACTACCTTTGAGAGTATCATTGGGAAAAAAAGTGCTTTGAGAAATACTGAATTGTGCCAGTGTAGTATCCCAAGATGTAAAATGGATTTAAGCCCTGGCAGAAACCCACACTGAGATCAGTTTCAGAATCAGTGACACTCAGGGATGTATCTTCCTCTGATCTAGAGCAACTCCATTAATTTCACTGCTGTCCATGCTCCTTAGAGCTACATCAGTTGGCAACTGTGACACCTGATCTTGTATTTCAAGTTGGGAACAGAAGTTTCACATCTGAATTTTGTTGTTGTTTTTGACTAAAGCACTTTTATGCAAGTAGCACTGATAAAAAAGATTTACCTGAGTGCCAAGTACCCAAGTTGTAATGAGCATCCATCTGCTGCTGCCTCTGATGATCACTCCCAAAGGATGTAACTGTTCACGTTCCAAATTTTCCACAGTTGGACACAAGAAAACTCTCCAACACAGTGAAATTCAGACAGCCCTATTACTTTAGATCAGATATTAGCAGTTCCTGATCTGCAGCATAAGATTACTAAGGCACAAAAATTTTCCCATTTTCCAGGCTGTTGCCTTCAGCAGATTCATGTTTTTGGAGGATGGATGGAGATGTAAAAAGATCCCCTACACAGGAGGGGGCACAAGCATACAAACAAACAGAGATGTTATGGCATTAACAGTCCTAATTTTTCTCTTTTCTCTTGGCTTATGAAGATAAATGCTCTGCGGGACATGATGGGATTTGTAGGTGGTTGTGTATTTGGTTATCCATTTCTGGCAGGTGCCTGAAGGACTCAGAGCATCCCACAAGCTTAACATGGTTCTGAGATGACATTTGTATTAAAAAATTAGTAAATGGCATTAGCCTTGCAGACAGAGAAAATGGGGGGATCTGAGCCAACTTTTCTACAGGTAAAATGGCAAAGCTCAGGCTCTGGAGCTTCATCTGTGATAAACACTGTGAGACTGGGCAGAAGTTCTTTGGTGGCAGCCAGGTTTCCTTTTAACCCAAAGGATGTGGTTATCTCCACTTTTGGAGGTATTTCCCTGCTTTTGGGCTGGCACCAAGCTGCCCTGCACTGGAAAAGGGGCAGGGCTTGCAGCTGACACTGGGGAATTCTTTGGGGCTGGTTAACAGTGTCCAGCCTGAGTGAGCTAAAGGATGGAGACAGGAGCTTGGTGTCAGAGAGGGACACAGGGCATCAGAGACACAGACCTGGGGCCACCTCCACAGCCAAGTGCAGTTCCTGTTAGTTCCTCTGCCATACTCATCTCCTGGGACTGCTCCTGGGCCCACAGAGAAGCTTCTCTGCCTTTCCCCTCTTCTCTCAACAAGAGAAGGCCTTCAGCTTTCAAGTTTTCACCCCAACTTATCACAATCTTTACAGGAGGTAAAGACACCATCAGGCCTTTATTTCATGACAGCCCCTGGGGCAGGGCTTTCACTTCTACCTTTGTCTTCTTTTTATCCATCAGCCCTAATTCAGAGAGAAGTTGGTCCCTGTGAGGCGGCATTAGGATGCTGAAAGACTTGTTTCACAGTGCCATCTCCTGGAGATCATGTTTAGGCTGAATTTCTCTGATACTTTTTTTTCCCCGATGTATCCGAGCTTTGAAGGCACGTGTTTAATGCATGATCTAAAGAAGAGATTAGCAGAAGTGAAATTAATCCAAAATTTAAACTCGCTCTTTTATGCTTCACAGTAAAAGTCCTGCCTCTTGAATGCTGTGAACAGCAAAGAAATTTATGGCTTGGGATTCATAAAATATTCATTGGGTTATGGTCTCACAGGCTTTGCACCTCTGGGCAGCACCAGCCCTGTGTGCAGTGATTGCAGAGGCAAAACGCTCCCTGGAGAGGTAAAAGGTCCCTTGGTGTAGCTCCTCTCCCACAGGAGCTCAAGGAATACCAGGGAAAAGGGATCATCCCTTCTCAAATGGGAGCTCTCAGGGCCAGGCACAGCCTCCAGCAGCAGCTGCCCTGCACACCCTGCCCCAGACACAAACCCCATGTGGGGACCCACACACAGCTCCATAGCCCAAAGCACTTTATTTACCCAA